TATATCTTATATATATATATATATAACACAAATATATTAGAAATATTTATTGAAAATTTAACTTGAAGATTAGTTATCTATTATTTTTAAACGCGTTTCGGATTTTATATTTTCATTTCGCTATTTAAAATGATAAATGATTTTAAATATATTTATTGTTCTTTTATCGGCACGCAATATATTTTTAATTAAAAAATCATAAAAAGATCTATTTGATCAGATTCAAATACATTTTAAAATTTAATTTTTACTGTTTATAGAATTTTTATATAGGACTATTTATAGAATTTTTTATCTTGAAGAAAATATGAACATAAAAAGATCACATATTACTGTCTAAAATAATCCATAGAAAATAGTTCCTGAATAATAATACTTTTCTCTACACAGTCCTGCCAGAAACAAACCCGTGCAGTCCATCCCCTTGTGGACCAAATAGTAAATGCCGAGATGTAAATGGTGTTGCCGTTTGCACTTGTCTCCCGAATTTTATTGGCAGTCCTCCAAACTGTCGAGCTGAATGCGTGGTGAACAGCCAATGCTCTCCGGATCTTACTTGCATCAATCAGAAGTGTATATCGCCTTGCCCGAATCCGTGTGGAATAAACACACAATGCAAAGTGATCAGTCACAGTCCCATCTGCGTCTGCAACCTCGGTTATACCGGGGACCCTTTTACGAGATGTTTCCCCGCCCCACGTAAGAACTTGATCTCTCCATCAGCTTCATTCATGCCATTAGTTCACGATTATCGGCTTGATTCATTTTTATTTACGTCAGAAGTTCACGATCATCTTTATTTATTTATTCATTCATGCCACAAATTTACCTTTTCTATCAATCATGACTTAACTTCGAACTGACATTATTACAAGTATCTCCAATTTAATTTACTTTAACATGCCATAATGCATTATTATAATATTAATCCTCATAATTTTGATGTATATTGTATATACAAAAATCTCATTTTTTCATAATACTCTTATAAACACAATTGATTCATTGCTAAATTAGACATCTAAAACAAATGGTGAGTAATTTGTTATGTTTACGTGATTTTATTATTTCAGCACCGATAGATTTTCCCGTAGCCCCTAAAGATCCGTGCTTACCGTCTCCATGCGGTGTGTACGCGGAATGTAGGAATATTGGTGGCACACCGTCGTGCTCTTGTCTATCGACCTACAGAGGATCACCACCGAATTGTCGCCCCGAATGCCGTGTGAATTCCGAATGCCCGATGAATCTTGCCTGTAGCAATGAAAGATGCAGAGATCCCTGTTTAGGCTCTTGCAGTATCACTTCATTATGCACAGTTTATAATCACGCACCTATGTGCACATGTCCTGAGGGATATATCGGTGATCCCTTCAGTAATTGTTATCCCAGACCGACAAGTAAGAGACTCCTCACATCCTAAAATTATGAAAGATTTGTTTCGAAGAAAAATTTTGCGAGTTATAATGTACGATATTTCGTGATGCTTTTTGGATATATTTTGATAGTAATTTTGGTTTTAACTAATGCTATATGCTAATAACAAAAAAATTTTAGTTTGCTCAGACAACGTGAATGTTTAAGATTTCGGATTTTTCGGAAAAAACATTTTCAATTTTTTGAGTGGATGTCTTTTTCATGTTTGTGTTATCTGACTTGATCAAAATTCACATCATTGTGTTATCTGACTTCATCAAAATCTTGATTTTGCTATATTTATTATTTTAAAACTGAAATATTTCCAATAATGGATGCATATTATAATGTTTCAGACATCTTTAAAATTTTTTAAGTTTTTCTTTACGTTCCGCAGTCGTCATTACAGCATCCATTAGATTCTTCAAATCGAAAGAAATACCCGATGCATTAAATATGAATACAATGTCTGAAAGTTTGCATCGAAGAAACTTATGCGTTACATTTTCGTAAAATTTTATTTCGAATACAATCGTGATATTCAAGTTCCTTATCCGCATTCTTTTACAGCGGCACCTGCAGTAATCGACCCTTGTAATTTGAACCCTTGTGGACCGAATGCACGATGCAACAATGGCATTTGCATATGTCTGCCCGAATATCAAGGCGACCCTTACGTAGGTTGCCGTCCCGAGTGTGTCATGAATATTGATTGCGCCCACGATCGTGCGTGCGTGCGCAACAAGTGTGTGGATCCCTGCCCGGGCACGTGCGGTCGAAATGCATTGTGTTCCGTATATAATCATGTACCTATGTGCACCTGTCCGGTCGGAATGGCCGGCAATGCTTTCGTTCAATGTTCCATAATTGAAGGTATAATCAATACGCTCAATCTCTACGAATTTCTACGAATGCTTTATATCGATAATAATAATTAATAATAATAATAATAATAATTGATAATAATTGTAAATTCAGCCTGAAGAAGAATTCTTCAAAATTTGAACAACTTATTTTTTATTATTTTTATTATTATCAATATCGCGTTTGTATTACTTCTTTAAAGACAAAGTATAATACCTCTATTATATCGAATATTAGATATCCCGAAGGGAGATCCCTGCTCACCCTCGCCCTGTGGACCGAACAGTGTTTGCCGAGAAAACAACGGGCAACCTGTGTGCTCATGTGTGGCGGGATTTCTTGGTATACCGCCAGCATGCAGGCCAGAATGCACTGTCAGTTCCGAGTGCCTTCTGACACAAGCGTGTAGCAATCAAAAATGCATAAATCCCTGTCTCGGTGCATGCGGAATTCAAGCCACTTGTCAAGTGATCAATCATAATCCCATATGTAGCTGCGGAGTACTAACCGGAGACCCATTCATTCGGTGTATTCCACGACGTAAGAACAAATATCAACTAAAAGAGTCATTAAGCAATTAATATTGATATCTGATATTTAATGATTTTGAAATATGTACATATAATACGTAGAGATGTAAAAGAGAAAATATTTTACTTTCTTTAAGTTTTAAATACATTAAAAATGAGCCATAATTTCACGAAGAAAAAATTGAAGATAATTTAATATTACATAATATTTATTATTTCAACAAATATTTCATTAAAAATTTTAAAGAATTTTCATTGTGAACACTTAGCTTTATTTTATCTAACATCTTGAATAATTCAAGAATTCTCGAATAATTTTGGCCGAAATAATCGTATGTGAATTTTGAGTTTTAAACACATTTAGTCTGAATTTTTTTTTATTTGACATTTTTCCTTTCTATTAGCACCTGAACCGGTATTGCAAACAAATCCCTGTGTGCCATCTCCTTGTGGAGCAAATTCCGAGTGTCGGGTTGTAGGCGATGCTCCCTCATGTTCGTGTCTAGATGGATTCCTTGGTTCGCCACCGTATTGTAGACCCGAATGCATTAGCAACAGTGAATGTCCTGCTCATTTGGCGTGTATGAATCAGAAATGTAGAGATCCTTGCGAAGGCTCCTGCGGGGCTAATGCCGAATGTCGTGTGGTGAGCCATACACCCATGTGCGTTTGTCCTAGCGATCTCACCGGCGATCCATTCACACAATGTACTATGAAACCACGTAAGCATCGATCTCATACGTACAGATCTGAAATTATATTTAGATCCAAACAAAGCGTACGAAACGTTTAATTTTTTTTTTTTTTAATGAATTGTACATCCCATTGGTTTTCAGACATAAGCTATTATATCTATTATTTTTCTTAAAAAAAATTATTGTTAGAAATGAGTTGTTTCCTAGCTTTATATATTTTATTTTCAGCCACACCAGTCCCACAATCGCCCTGTAAACCGTCACCTTGTGGCTTTAATGCCATTTGCAAGGAACAGTTTGGTGCTGGATCTTGTTCTTGTTTACCAGATTATATCGGCAATCCTTATGAAGGATGTCGACCAGAATGCGTGGTTGATACAGATTGCATATCTACTCTTGCTTGCGTGCAATCAAAATGTAGAGATCCATGTCCCGGTGTCTGCGGACAATTTGCCGAATGTCAAGTAATCAATCATCGACCATCTTGCACATGTATTTCTGGTTATAGCGGCAATCCCTTCCAATACTGTACTTTAATACGTAAAATCGGTACGAATATTTTCTTGAATACTGAGAAATTTCATGCCTCATTTATTGCAACTTTTTATTGTTTTATTTGTAATTTTTTATCTTACACGTTTTCATACGCTTTTTAATAAATTTCTTTAACGCGTGTTAATTTAATTAAAAAATGAGTAGATAATTACGTTTTGATATTTTCGTAAATGAGCATTTTAAATAAGCTTTTCTTCATTAATATCAAAAATTTGAAAGATACATCTATTATTCTAGTCGATACTCCGAGGGATGTTTGTAATCCGTCGCCTTGTGGACCCAACAGCCAATGTCGTGTTAATAACAATCAAGCAGTCTGTTCTTGCCTACCGATTTTCATCGGTAATCCACCCGCGTGTCGTCCTGAATGCGTGACAAGCTCGGATTGCCCACTCAATCTCGCTTGCTTGAATCAAAAGTGTCAAGATCCTTGCCCTGGTTCCTGCGGCAGAAATTCGAATTGTAGAGTTATCAAACATAATCCGATTTGCTCTTGCAAGAACGGTTTTACCGGCGATCCATTTACTGTTTGCTTCCAGACACCTGGTACGATTTTCAACTTTTGTCTATTATTGATATTAATTTCTCTTCTCTCTAGCGAATATGCGCGTTACCAATGCGCAATTATTTATCCGAATAAATACACTCAGATTTCGATAAAATGTTCATCTCAAAAATATTAAAAGCTATTCCGATATCCATGTAACTCTATTCGATTAATTCTCCTCGAATTGATAAATAATAATATTTGTTGACATTTAAAAAATTTAATTTTTGACGCTACGAGAAATATAAATTTTTCGTTTTCGATTGATATTTACAAGAATGTTGTATCGAGATTAGATGTGTAATATGAAATCAATTAGATTTAATAACAATTTTTTATAGCTCTAAAACTTCATAATTCGTAATTGCAGTGAGTCCGCCTATTGTAAGTGACATAAGAGACCCATGCGTACCGTCACCTTGTGGCACATTTGCCGAATGTCGCGATATAGGAGGAGTGCCATCGTGTTCTTGTTTACCAACGTACAGAGGCAGTCCGCCAAATTGTAAACCAGAATGCACGATCAATGCAGAGTGTCCAGCTAATATGGCTTGCATGCAGCAAAGATGTAGAGATCCCTGTCCAGGCTCGTGTGGCATTATGGCCGAATGCAGTGTCGTAAATCACGTGCCAATTTGTTCATGTTTGCCTGATTACACCGGTGACCCTTTCATTGGATGTTCCATAAAGCCACGTAAGATTCCCTATCGAAAATAATTTTTTTGTTATTTCCCCGATAAGTATACTTGATCTTTTCACGCGAAATTATTGCAGTCGTTGTTGCCCCCTCTAAACCGGATCCGTGCACACCTTCGCCTTGCGGAGCCAATACGCAATGCAATGGAGGAATATGCGTTTGCATAGCAGAATATTTCGGCGATCCTTACAGCGGTTGCCGGCCGGAATGCGTATTGAATAACGATTGCCCAAATACGCAAGCATGCGTGCGAAATAAATGCGTGGATCCCTGTCCAGGTGTTTGTGGCCAAAATGCTATGTGCAATGTGTACAATCACGTTCCTATGTGTAGTTGTCCCTCGGGAATGGAAGGAAATGCTTTCGTCTTGTGTTCTCCCGTGCCAGGTATTCTTTGGAAGTTCTAAATGTAAAATAACTGACATGTTAAAATATTTACGATTTTGTTTAAGGAGGTCACCTGGTTTAGGACGCTGAAAAATAGATGATTTTCGCGAATTTTTTTAACAACGTAAAGTAAAGTCGATCTTTCCAAAATTGTAAGGATACATTACTAGATACTTATATTATACAAAAAAATTTTTTAATTAAAGAATTCAAAATAATAACGTCATGATAAATCAGTAATTAAAACGTCTCGCTATTGGAGTTACAAAATGACGGGACAAATAAAGCCGATAATTTCTGTCGGAAACAAAAAAACCAAAAATATTTTTAATTTGTATATAATATGTATAGTCGATGAACTAAAAAAAAAATAAAGAGTGTAAAATTGTAAAACTTTTAGGACTTTAAAGAAAAAGTGACAATTTCGGGAAAAAGGTTTCACTTTCTTTGTGCAATAAAAATTGCTTAAATTAACTTTTTTACACATGTTTTTAGTTCATTTAGGATGGTTGATAATAATTTAAATGAAGAACTTTGAATGAAGTCGATACGTCAAATAGTTTTTTTCTATTTTGCCAATTTTGTAACTCCAGCGACGCGTTTTAATCACTGATTTATCATGACGTTATCTTGAATTTTTTTAATTAAAATTTTTTTTGTATAATATAAATATCGAGTAAAGTATCCTTACAGTTTTTAAAAGATAGACTTTACTTTTCTTTTTTAAAAAAATTTACAAAAATCACCTTTTTTTTCAGCGTCCTAAACCATCCCCTTAATCTTCAAAAATATCCGTATTTTTACTATCGAATCTTTATTCTGTAATTAAAATATTTTCTTATAGCGCCACCCATTAGCAACCCATGTAATCCATCTCCGTGTGGTCCGAACAGTCAATGCCGACAAAATAATATGCAGGCTGTATGTAGTTGCATAAGTGGATTTGTCGGCGCGCCTCCGACTTGTAGGCCCGAATGTGTAATTAGCTCAGATTGCCCGAAGAATGAGGCGTGTACCAATCAAAGATGTCGAGATCCTTGTCCGGGAAGTTGCGGGCGCAACACAATTTGCAACGTCATTAATCACAATCCTGTCTGCGTCTGCCGTTCCGGGATGACTGGCGATCCGTTTATTAATTGTTTCCCCCTTTGTAAGAAAACTCTTTTTTTATTCTTTCTAGAAGATATTCACATACAAATTAACTTTTGCGATTTATTTTATTTTATTATACTTGGAATACACGCATAACATAAATCAATTTCAATATAGTATTATACTTCGATTAATTGAATGGTATTAACTTTAAAGCTGAGGAACCGTTACCTGTGCTTAATCCCTGTCAACCATCGCCTTGTGGACCAAACGCGCAATGCCAAGTGATCAATGATCAACCCTCTTGCTCGTGCTTGCAAGAATTTATCGGATCACCCCCGAACTGTCGGTACGAGTGTATCAGCAATAGCGAATGCTCGAATAAAATGGCTTGCATTAACCAAAAATGTCGCGATCCGTGCATCAACGCATGCGGCGTCAATGCCGTTTGTAATGTCGTTAGTCACACGCCGATGTGCGCGTGCACCCCTGGTTACACTGGCGATCCGTTTACGCAGTGTTCTCCCCAACAGAGTAAGAAGATTTTAAAGAATAATTCAAATATACAAATATATTTAAGAAGTCAAATTTACTTCAGGTTTTATTCGATTTTGATTAATTTACAAACTTTTTATTTGTATGAAAAATCAATTTTGAAAGAATTCAAAATTAATTAATATTAGATTATCATTGCGAGATTATATTCTATTAAGAAGTACTTTTTTTCTTAAGAATGGATCAAATTTCTTTTATTCTCATTTTAGTCGATATACAGCCTAGCGTATCTACGCCATGCATACCGTCTCCGTGTGGTGCAAATGCAGTATGTAGAGTTCAGCAAAATGCTGGTTCTTGTTCGTGCTCGTCCGATTATATCGGCAACCCTTACGAAGGGTGCAGACCTGAGTGTACGCTCAATTCCGATTGCCCGTCCAATCAGGCGTGTATCGGTTTGAAATGCAAAGATCCGTGTCCAGGAACGTGCGGCCAAAACGCGCAATGCTATGTGATTAATCATGCGCCAACTTGCACTTGTTTCGAGCGGTACACGGGAAATCCATTCATATTCTGCAGTCTTATCGTCGAAGCCCGTAAGAGATTGCTTAAAAAGCTCGTCCGTTCCGAGCTTTCTATCTGTACTAGAGACAATTGCGTGATTTTAAATACCTAACTTTCTTGCAGCGATTATAGCAGATAATCCCTGTCAACCATCTCCTTGCGGGCCATATAGTCAGTGCAGAGCAAGCAATGGCCAAGCTGTTTGCTCTTGTTTGCCGACTTATATCGGCGCACCACCCGGTTGTAGACCCGAATGCACAGTTAGCACGGACTGCGCGACGAATCGCGCTTGCGAGAATAATAAGTGTGTTGATCCTTGTCCCAACTCGTGCGGTCAGGGCACGACGTGTAGAGTCGTGAACCATAGTCCAATATGTATGTGCAAACCAGGATTCAGCGGTGATCCATTCATCCGCTGCTTATTCGTACCACGTAAGCCTTCTGCTCTAATTCGTTATTTTTTTAATATTAAAAAAAATGTTATTATGACGTTTTTTCTATAACTTTAATTATCTTTGCACTAAAATTTTTCTTTGTTTCCATTTAAAATTTTTATTATGAGACATAGTAAAATTATACCCTTGAAAATTACATATTTATATACGTTACATATATATGAAATATAAAGAATTTTTTTTATGAATTAAAGAATAAGTCATATAATTAAATTTTATTTTAAAAGCATTTTTTAATAGTTTTGTTTTGAAATTTAGAGATTTTATTGTAAATTTTAGCTACTCCGAGCTACTTACCGAGTCTACCCTCGGATCCTTGTATACCCTCACCGTGTGGACCCAACGCGCAATGTCGCAACATCAATGGTTATTCATCTTGTTCTTGTATGATTAATTACATTGGTACACCACCAAATTGTCGTCCCGAATGCGTTATTCCTGCCGATTGTCCGAGCAATCAGGCTTGTATTCGCGAGAGATGTCAAGATCCCTGTCCAGGTTCTTGCGGCCTGAATGCCGATTGTACTGTTCACAATCACATTCCAATCTGCAGATGTATAGAAAGTTATACTGGCGATCCATTTACTGGATGTCAGCCTATGCCAATCTGTAAGTTATATATCAAAATTTATTTAATTTTTTTTACAACTATATCACAGAGAAAATTTCCTTTTAAAATTTATTCTGAAAATCATGTTAATTGTGGGATAATATAGCATTTCGACAAATTTTACTGTGCACTACAATAAATTTATTGTAGTTTATATTAAAAAATATAGTGAAAATCACATAAAATTCATCGAAATACTATATCGTCCTACGACATGATTTTCAGGGTAAATTTTAAAATAAAATTCTCTCCGTGTACGTTTTTGTATTCATAATTTCACTTTTAAATTGATATTTGTAATAACATAGACAACGAGCCAACGCAGCCAATTGATCCATGCAGTAGCTCACCCTGTGGACCAAACGCTCAATGCAATAATGGCATTTGCACTTGTCTACCTGAATACTTTGGCGACCCATACGCTGGCTGTCGACCAGAATGCGTACTCAGTACAGACTGCTCATTTGACAAGGCATGCATACGAAACAGATGTATTGATCCTTGTCCAGGTACTTGCGGACAAAACAGTTTATGCAACGTGATAAATCACACGCCTATGTGCAGTTGTCCCTCTGGTACCTCTGGAAACGCATTCATTTCTTGCGATGTAATGAGAGGTATGACATCAAAAGAGACAAGAAATTTGATTTACGTGTTTGAGAATATTAATCGATACCTTATCGTATGTAGTTCCACCCGTGACAAGACCATGCACCCCGAATCCTTGCGGTCCAAACAGCATATGTCGAGAATTAAATGAGCAAGCCGTGTGCACTTGTGCGCCAGAATTCCTTGGGTCGCCGCCTCTCTGTCGACCCGAATGTACCCTCAGCTCCGACTGTCGGCCGAACGAAGCTTGCGCTAATCAGAAATGCAAAGATCCTTGCCCCGGTACATGCGGCATCCAAGCGAGATGCGTAGTCGTCAATCACAACCCTGTTTGCTCGTGCCCCGAGCGCTACACTGGCGATCCGTTTATCAGATGCGATATTATGAGTAAGATACAATCTCGATTTAAAGTACACGTAAGCCCCGACCACCAGATTAAAATCATAAAACATAATTGTTATTTTATCCAGAATCGGTAGCACCTGTAATAGTAAATCCTTGTCAGCCTTCGCCCTGCGGGCCGTACGCTCAGTGCCAGGTCATTAACAATTTACCATCCTGCTCGTGCCTACCCGAATACAGAGGCTCGCCCCCGTATTGTCGACCCGAATGTATTTCCAATCCTGAGTGTCCCAGCCATCAAAGTTGCGTGCGGCAAAAGTGCAGGGACCCCTGCCCAGGTTTATGCGGGGAAAATGCGGAATGCCACGTGGTACAACACGTGCCCCATTGCGTCTGTTCCTACGGTCTCACCGGTGATCCGTACACGCGCTGTTCTGCGATACGTAAGGGATAAAATCCTTTTACATAAAACCGTAAAATTAACTGACAAAATTATCTGGCCTTACGTGCGACGTTGCTTAATCCGTTTGCCCTTTACGTTGTTTTAGCACGCCCAATAGAACTGGAACCGGAACCATCACCCTGCTCGAACTTCGAATGTGGCGCGAATGCAATATGTAGAGAGCGAGACAATGTCGCAATTTGTCAGTGTGTCTCTAGCTATATCGGTAATCCGTACCTAGCGTGTCGACCCGAATGCATTATTAATCCTGATTGTCCATCCAATTTGATGTGCGTAAGAAACAAGTGTGCCAACCCCTGTGCAGGCATGTGCGGCCGAAACGCCGAGTGTTCGGTTGTCAATCATCAACCGATGTGCACATGTCTCCCCGGATATACCGGAGATCCCTTCATTTCTTGTTCCGTAGATAGTAAGTGTTCCTAATCATACAGTTTCTGTACAGTAATCTCATATCGCAAAACTTTATGATAAAAATTATACAAAATATTGAATCCATAAAAATTTTCTTACATATTGTATTTGTTTTTTGGTTTTTATACGAGTCTTATTACACAAGTATATTAAAATTTAGATGTTCATATAATATTAGCATTCTCTTGTTGTTAAAATTTTAATTTTATTAGAATGAAAATTTGAAATAAAAGATTAAAAAAATTTTAACTGTTTAAATTAATATTAAAAATTTATATTTTTTAGAAAAGAAAAAGAAATTTTTATATTTTATATTTTTATGTAGAAACTGGTAATTTTAAAACACAATTAAAAATTAATTGCTTTTAGAAACAAATTTTAAAAAACATTGAATGTTTCTACTTATCTACGTGAATTTTACTAATGCATTAAATTTTTCCCAGAAATAATCTCAGATGAAAACGTTTGCGCCCCGTCACCCTGTGGACCCAACAGCAAATGCAAAGAAGTGTCCGGACAGGCTGTTTGTTCATGTCTCCCGACGTACGTTGGAACCCCACCTGCATGTAGACCTGAATGTGTCGCTAGTTCAGAGTGTTCCCCGCAATTAGTGTGCAAGGACTACAAATGCGTGAACCCCTGCCCAAGCCCATGCGGACTCAATACCAATTGTGCGGTCGTTAATCACAGCCCAATCTGCAGTTGTATGTCCGGTTACAGTGGAGATCCATTCACCATATGCTCGTTAATTCCACGTAAGACTATCATCGAATGCATGAAGAACTATGTCCCAATCTCTCAACATATATTGCCCTACGTCCTTTACATGTTGCACGATCATCAACCACAACTCCGAATATCTTTCAGCTATAACGCCACCACCGGTACAGAAAGACCCCTGCGTACCATCCCCGTGCGGTAGTTTCTCCCAATGCAGAAATATCGGTGGCTCTCCCGCGTGTACCTGCCTGGAAAATTATATGGGCCAACCGCCCAATTGCAGGCCCGAATGTACCATACACTCGGAATGTTCGAGTGATAAGGCCTGTATTAACATGAAGTGTGCGGATCCATGCCCCGGCTCGTGCGGTACCAATGCCTTGTGTTCGGTTGTTAATCACATTCCCACGTGCAGATGTCCCGAGGGATACACCGGAAATACATTTGTCTTTTGCGAGATATTGCCACCGACACGTAAGCGTTACGAGCCATCCAATAGTACTCTCGAAATCTCGACATGGCTGGAAGTGTGATTGAAGCTTGTTAATTTTCCTGTATCGATTATATTTTGCAGCGATTCCATCCCCAGTCGAAGATGCCTGCGTCCCGTCACCCTGTGGCCCTAACGCGCAATGCTTTGACGGTATCTGTACTTGCTTACCGGAATTCCGAGGAGATCCGAACGTAGGTTGCCGACCGGAGTGTGTCCTAAACGCAGATTGTCCCCGCGATAGAGCGTGCATACGTAACAAATGTTTGGACCCATGCCCCGGAGCTTGCGCCATTAACGCATTATGCACTGTGATCGCTCACGTTCCCATGTGCAGTTGCCCTGGAAATATGACCGGCAATGCATTCAGCCAATGCACACCTCTACAAGGTATATAATGTCCCGTCATTAAAGAGATCCCCCTTTTATCGCCTTTCTAATTTCTTTCATAAATTATTTCCAAGAATTAAAAATTCATTATTTTTGTGTACCAGACATACCACCCGCTAATCCATGCGCCCCTTCACCCTGCGGACCGAATAGCGAATGTCGCGTTATAAACAATCAGGCGGTCTGCTCCTGTATAAGAGGATATTTAGGTAGCCCTCCGACCTGCAGACCCGAGTGCATAGTCAGCACGGATTGCCTCCAGAATGAGGCCTGTAGCAATCAGAAGTGTACGAATCCTTGTCCCGGAAGTTGCGGATTAGGCGCATCTTGTCAAGTAGTGAATCATAATCCGATTTGCGTTTGCCCACCTTCTCAAACGGGTGATCCTTTTATTAGATGCTATTTAGCACCACGTAAGTATCGCTTGTTACGTCCGTGTTTTTTATCAATGTGATAGATCCCAAGGAAGGGATTTGAAAAAATTTTTCTTTTTTTTTTTATACATCAAATTTTGTCCTTTTAGCTCAAACACCTGTATTACCTCCCACGCCATGTAAGCCAAATCCGTGCGGTCCCAATTCGCAATGCCAGCCGCGCGGCGACGAATCTGTGTGCACGTGTTCACCCGATTTCATCGGCAGTCCGCCCAATTGTAGAGCGGAGTGCGTCAGTAATAGCGAATGCTCTAATCACCTAGCCTGTATTAATAAGAAATGTCAAGACCCGTGTGTTGGTTCCTGCGGTGCGAATGCTAATTGTCACGTTGTCAGTCACACCCCAATGTGTTCTTGCATAAATGGTTACACCGGCGATCCATTCACGCAATGTATCTTTAGAGAGCGTAAGTACCATTTGAAAATTGAAACTAATATAATTTCGGTGACTTTCTATTACACAAAGAATGAAATGAAAAATCACCGTAATTATAGATTTTGATATCTGTTTTGTACAGGAACATTCGCATTTTTAAAATTCTCTTTTTATTATTTATCTATTTATATTTCTATGCTCATTGAATTTTGCACAAAAACTGTTGCATTACCATTATCACGAACAAATTTTGTTGAAATGAAAAATTACCGTAATTATAGATTTTGATATCTGTTTTGTACAGAAACATTCGCATTTTTTAAATTCTCTTTTTATTATTTATTTATAATTTATGCTCATTGATATCATCTTTTAGCTACACCATTGCCACCCGCACCAATCGATCCCTGCACTCCCTCTCCTTGCGGCTCTAATGCAGTGTGCAAGGAATTCAACGGTGCCGGTTCGTGTACGTGCTTGCCGAATTACACCGGCAACCCGTACGAAGGATGTAGGCCAGAATGTGTCCTAAATTCGGATTGCCCTGCCAACTTGGCTTGTATAAATACGAAATGTAGAGATCCGTGCCCGGGATCGTGCGGGCGCAATGCGTTATGTCAGGTGGTTAACCATTTGCCAGTATGCAACTGTTATCCTAGATATACCGGCGATGCCTTCTTATATTGCGCTCCGATAGAAATAGGTATGATTATATCATCTGTGTCCGAATGCATTTATTCGGTTAATAACGAAATGCAATCGTGATTGATTCGCAAAACATTGCCATTTTTAGAAGGAGCTAGTGCCGTCAGTAATCCTTGCGAACCATCACCCTGTGGACCCAACAGCTTGTGTCGCGTTGTGGATAATACGAGCGTCTGTACTTGTTTACCTGACTTCCAATGGGTGGCCAGCCCACCAAATTGTCGCCCTGAGTGCACTGTCAGTGCCGAGTGTGCTTTTAATCTAGCATGCATCTCATATAAATGTAGCGACCCTTGTCGTACATTATGCGGTTCTAATGCAAGATGCGAAACCATCAATCATAATCCTATATGCTCGTGCCCACCTAATTTAACTGGTGATCCATTCGTTGCCTGCTTTGAAATGCCACGTAAGAATAACTGAAAATATAAAATCTTGTAAATTGAAATCATAAAGTAAACTAAATCAAATATCAAGAGATCGGAGAAATATTTTCTCAAATTCTAAATATATTCTTTTCAGAAATTTTTTTTAGAAAAAAATTTCTAAATTTTTTTGTCTAGAAAAATCTTTTTTTCAGAAAATTCCTTTTTTTTTTAATAAGATAAATTTTTAAATATTAGTAATTTTTTTTCATTAGATGAAACATTTCTTCTACTTTTTGCTTTAATTAGAAAACATTGAGACGTTATCAAAGAAAATTAAATATTCAAGGAAAGCGTGTAACAGATATATTTATATGCCCATAGCGAAAGATGAAGTTCGTCCACTTGTGAATCCTTGCGCACCTTCACCTTGCGGACCTTATTCAGAATGTCGTGACATTAACGGCCAAGCATCCTGCGCTTGTTTATCAACATATATAGGAACACCACCCAATTGCAGGCCCGAATGTTCAGTTAATCCAGAATGCCCAACTAATCAAGCGTGTATACAGAGAAAGTGTCGAAATCCTTGCGATGGAGTTTGTGGAGTAGGAGCAATTTGTAATGTCATTCGTCACACACCCACATGTTCTTGTCCCAGTGGATTCACTGGGGATCCATTTGTAGTGTGTAGACTAATTCCAGAGGAAGGTAAGACAAGAGAATATTCGTGATGTTATTTATAGAAATAGACAGACCTGTACATTATATTTCTTTATGGTATTTAAAATATGAAAATGATCTCACTTTTAAATTCACAATTAGCTTGATCGAAAACTGAATGTTAAAATTCGTTTCTCCAGAAATTCCGGCACTCAAACCAGTAGATCCATGCTTAAATTGCGGCGCGAATACGCAATGCTTTAACGGTATATGCACCTGTCTCCCCGAGTATCAAGGGAATCCAAATTTCGGATGCCGTCCAGAATGTATCCTGAATTCGGATTGTTCGAGAGACCGAGCTTGCATTAAGAGCAAGTGTCAAGATCCGTGCGGTCTTGGAATTTGCGGTGTCAATGCCTTGTGTTCCGTTGTAAATCACGTACCAGTCTGCACTTGTCCGCAGAGAATGTCTGGCAACGCGTTTGTGCAGTGCTCCCTAATAGAAGGTACTCAATCGAGTAATTAATCCGAATTTGTCACGAATGACCGATATTGTAATTATGTATTCCCTGTTGTAATTGATCTTTTTTACATTTAAACAGACACGATACCAAAAGACCCGTGTAACCCAACACCCTGCGGACCGAATAGTCAGTGTCGAAAGGTAAAGAATCAGGCTGTCTGCTCGTGTCTCCCTGGATATTTGGACGCACCGCCTAATTGCCGAGCCGAATGCATTATTAGTTCCGATTGTCTTGCCAACATGGCTTGTAATAATCAAAAATGCATAGACCCCTGCCCTGGAACATGCGGCATCAGAGCCCAATGCACCGTGGTCAATCATAATCCGATTTGTTCTTGTCCTTCCGAGTTGACCGGCGATCCCTTCACTCAGTGCATTCCGAGACGTGAGTAATTTAAAAGCAATAGTTGACCAGTCGCATTAGACTTATCGCTAAGGAAACATTGCATTCTTAATTTTCTTAACAGCGGCAGAGCCTCCAACGCCCATTAATCCATGCGTTCCATCTCCGTGTGGACTTAACAGTAAATGCGAAGTTGTAAACAATGCATACTCCTGCTCTTGTTTGCCAGAGTTTATTGGCGATCCGCCGAATTGTAGACCTGAATGCGTTAGCAATAGTGAGTGTTCCACGCAGCTAGCGTGCATCAATCAGAAATGCCGCGATCCGTGTCCAGGCTCCTGCGGCATTAATTCTGATTGCCGAGTAATAAGTCATACACCTATGTGCATTTGCCTTGCTGGATTTGAAGGAGATCCATTTATATTATGCAACCCCAAGCAAAGTAAGTGTAGTAATTGTGTGGTATTGTCTAAGGTCATTGTCTACCTTAAAATCACAGAATACATTTTTTAATCGCCGATATTATGACAAGTTTTTAAGTTTTAACATTAAATAACGATTAAAGTAAATTCTTGTGGTTAAGATTAAATGTATTTATGTAATTGGAATTATAAATGTAAAGTAAGATATATATTATTATCTATTACAATATAATATTATTTATATTTATATATTATTTTATTGCCATATATACATATATATATAATTTATTTATTATTGTAATTTATTACATCTTTAATGCTTGTAATTTAAAATCAATGCTTTGTTATGGCAATTTACTTTGTTAAATTTTTAGTATCTGCGATTGAAAATATACATTTGATGATTTTCTGGTATATTGACGATTTACCAGAACGATTACCTTACAACAGGAAGTAAATTTGATATTTTTTTGTAGACGAAGTTATAAATGTTATAAAACCAACACCCTGTATTCCGTCACCGTGCGGCTTTAATGCGGTATGTCGTGAATCGAACGGTGTCGGTTCTTGTACGTGTCTATCAGATTATACAGGCAATCCATACGAAGGCTGTCGACCCGAATGTACGATAAACTCCGATTGCACCGCGGATCGAGCGTGCGTTGGATCGAAATGTCAAAATCCTTGTCCAGGTTTCTGCGGATATAATGCAATTTGCCAAGTAGTAAATCACGTGCCGTTATGCACATGTCAACCTGGATACAGCGGTAACCCGTTCGTCTCTTGTAACAGAATTATACAAGAAACGAGTAAGTGATTTATAAGTTCTTAGAAGACACAGTTTATAATCTAATCTGATAAATAATTCGTGATTTTTATATATATATCGCAATATTTTCAAAACTTTTAACTTATTCAAAATTAATTACAATTCAGTAAAATGTAATAAGTATAAGTAATAGTTCAATATCGAGTCAATTGTTCTCTTAACAATTTTGCGTAAATATAACATTTATTTTTCGACTTATTTTTCTAGAATTCTCGTAACTTTACGAAATTTAACTTAAGATCTTTTTTTAGCGGTAGAACGTAATCCATGCAGTCCTTCGCCATGTGGACTTAATAGTCAGTGCCGCGAATTAAACGGTCAAGCGGTGTGCTCTTGCTTACCTACATTTATCGGAACCCCGCCGAACTGTCGCGCGGAGTGTACAGTCAGCTCCGATTGTTCCGTAAATCGTGCCTGCAAGAATCGTAAATGCGTTGATCCATGCCCCGGAATTTGTGGTATCAACGCAAGATGCGAAGTGATTAATCATAGCCCGATTTGTAGTTGTAACCAAGGTTTTACCGGCGATCCTTTCGTAACGTGCTTCCAAACGCGTAAGTACGCCGTAAAATACGAACTTGTTTAACGTGTTGGATATGCATACTTTTTAACTTGAGCGTAAATTTTTTAAAGCACGTACACATAAATATTTCGTATGATATTAAATAGAAATTATTCGTTTACAGAAATAGACATATATACCCCTCAAACGCCAGAAAATCCATGCGTTCCATCTCCTTGCGGTCCATTTGCCACTTGCCGCGATAGCGGCTACGCGGGCGTGCCGACGTGCACGTGTCTGGAAAATTACATTGGTAGCCCTCCGAACTGTCGGCCAGAATGCACCGTTGATTCTGAGTGCAGCAACGATCGAGCCTGTTTGAGACAAAAATGCAGAGACCCATGCCCGGGCTCGTGTGGTATCGGTGCTCAGTGCCTTGTGGTTAATCACATGGCCGTTTGTCTCTGCCCAACAGGTTACACCGGAGATGCATTTGCTAATTGCTTCCCAGAACCTCCTCGTAAGCATTTATCCTTGTTTCGTAATATAATTATATCATCTATACGATCAATAAGAGAAAAATGGGGAATGTAGATGCAAGTTTTTTAAATTAATTTTTTAATAAGAATTTCTTATAAGTAAATCTTTAATTTATAATTTTAGCATTGACAAAAATTTATGTCGGTTATAAATTCACTATAATGAGTCGAACGGTTTTATTGTGTAAATTTAAAAAAATAATATTATACTAGGATATTTCAAAATACTATAGATTATATTCTGTATCATCGTAAGCCCTTTATAAGCTAAGCAAAGATGTTCATTCAATATGGACAATGATATTTGCAGCTGCACCTATACCACAAGACCCTTGTAATCCATCCCCGTGCGGAGCCAATGCGATATGTCGCGACGGTGTCTGTACTTGTCTGCCCGAATATCGCGGTGATCCTTACACTTCGTGTCGACCCGAGTGTGTACAAAATCCGGATTGTCCATTAGACAAGGCGTGTGTTCGCAATAAGTGCTCTGATCCATGCATTGGAGTTTGCGGGCAAAACGCAAAATGCACAGTCATAAATCACACTCCAATGTGCGCCTGCCCAGAAGGGATGTCCGGCAATGCGTTTGCGGCGTGTTATCCGATCATTCAAGGTAAAATTCATTGACAATCACGTGCTGTTTGCACACTAGAGACAATTATTATTAATTAAAATTGTAAAATCCTTGTTACCAAGAGTCGTTCTGTCACAAAAAAAATTAATTTGCTCAAAGATATCTTGCGGAGAGAAAATTTCGACATTAATTGATTTTGCAGATCAAACTGTCCAGAATCCATGTAACCCGTCACCCTGCGGTCCGAACAGTCGATGTCAGAACTTTAACAATCAAGCAGTATGTACGTGCATACCTGGATTTATAGGAAATCCGCCTGTCTGCCGACCCGAGTGCATAGTTAATACTGATTGTGCACTGAACGAGGCTTGCATCAACATGAAATGTGGCAATCCTTGCCTTGGTGCGTGCGGTATATCCGCTCGTTGCCAAGTGTTGAATCATAATCCAATTTGCACCTGTCCCCCTGTATTCACCGGCGATCCGTTCATACGTTGCATACCAAGACGTAGGTTTTTCTGATAATTATAAACGTATATTTGTGTCGAGCATATAACAATTTGTATCTTTTTATCTCTTAAAGCGGAGGATATTCCAAAACCGATAAACCCGTGTCAACCGTCACCTTGTGGCCCTAATGCTCAATGTCAAGTCATCAATAATACTCCGTCATGTTCTTGCATGAGAGAGTTCATTGGAACGCCACCGAACTGTAGACCGGAGTGTGTTAGTAATAGCGAGTGCCCGAGCCAAATGGCATGTATTAATCGTAAATGTAGAGACCCATGTCCTGGATCTTGTCATCCTCTGGCTAATTGCTATGTCGTTAATCATGTGCCTACTTGCACGTGTCGTATCGGTTACACAGGCGATCCGTTCGTTCAATGCACGGTCATGCCCAGTAAGTTCAAATATACTTGATTTTTTAATGTTTTTTTTTTATAGACACTTTGTTGATTGAATACTCATTCTGCATTGCTATCAATAATAATTTTTTTTTATGTTGCACTTTTATTATAGTAACATTACGGCTGTGAAACTTAATCAGTACACGGAGAAAATTTTCTTTTAAAATTTACTCTGAAAATCATGTTAATCGTGAGACAACATAATATTTCGTCAAATTTTATGTGATTTTCTCCGTTTTTTTTTACTGTGCACTACAATAAATTTGTTATAGTACATATTTAAAATAGTAAAAATCACTCGAAAAATAGTAAAAATTTCTCGAAATACTATGTCGTTCTACGATTAACATGATTTTAAGGTAAATTTTAAAATAAAATTCTCTCCGTGTAGAGTTCTATTAATTAAAAATGTATTAAGAAGTTGATGCTATGGGTAGGATAAAGCTATGTTCTTTTAGGCGAACCTCCGACACCGAGACAACCTTGTCAACCATCCCCTTGTGGAACAAACGCCGTATGTAGAGAACAAAATGGCATTGGTTCTTGTACATGCTTGCCCGAGTATATTGGAAATCCCTACGAAGGATGCCGTCCCGAATGTACCATTTCGTCAGACTGTCCCGCACATTTAGCGTGCATTGGATCAAAGTGTCAGAATCCATGTCCCGGTTCATGCGGCACCAATACCAATTGTCAAGTTGTCAACAATGTCCCCGTTTGCACTTGTATCCCTGGTTACACGGGCAATCCGTATACAAACTGCATTTATCAGACTTTCAGCAGTAAGTAATGTTAAACGAGCCTAAGAGAGAAATTAAGTGGCATACATATAAAAAAGATCGAAAATTGCATAAATGATACGTTAAATTTAACATTATGTTATTATAGTTCCCGATGAAAAGCGTGAACCATGCAAACCTTCTCCATGCGGCCCCAATAGTCAATGCACCGATAATAACGGTCAAGCTGTCTGTTCCTGCTTGCCTCAGTTTATCGGAACTCCGCCAAATTGTAGACCAGAATGCTTAGTAAATTCTGAATGCGGATCGACCCGAGCATGCGTGAATCAAAAATGTGTAGATCCATGTATCGGCACCTGTGGTCGTGATGCTCAATGCAAAGTCATACATCACAGCCCGATTTGTATTTGCGCAAATGGCTTTACGGGTGATCCCTTCATTTATTGCTTCGCCGTGCCAAGTATGTTTAGTAGGACAAGATTCTTTTTTTATAAAATTAAAAATTTGTCAAAATTAAATTGTTTTTATCAATTTCTGATTTAATAGCATCCTTTTTTTTATAAAATTTAAAAATTTGTTAAAATTATATTGTTTTTATCAATTTCTGATTTAATAGCATCCATTTTTGTATACTCGAAGAATATCAATATTACTTACACTTCTTTTTCGTAGTCTCGAAACCAGAAGATAAATATCCGAGGGACCCATGCTTACCCTCACCTTGCGGACCCAATGCCCTATGCAGAGCCATTGGCGATGCACCAGCGTGCAGTTGCATGCAAAATTACATGGGTGTTCCACCTAACTGTCGACCCGAGTGCTCAATAAATTCGGATTGTCCTGCTAATAGAGCTTGTATCAGGGAAAAATGTCGAGATCCTTGTCCAGGATCATGTGGCCTCTTGGCACGCTGTTCGGTGATTAATCATACGCCATCCTGCGTATGTCCGGAAGGATATACCGGTGATCCCTTCATCGGTTGCAACGTTTTACCTCAGTTACCTCCGTTACCCCGTAAGAACTTGAGTCACGTTATTTATCGCAGCAATGTTACATACTATTCTAAATCGCTGCAATTTTGACCTGTGCATATTTCAGTACCTCCTCCAGACCGATGCAACCCATCACCGTGCGGTCAGAACACTAGATGCAACAACGGAATTTGCACATGCATACCAGAATACTTTGGTGATCCGTACGTCGGTTGCCGACCAGAATGTGTGATTAACACCGATTGTTCCCGCGATAAGGCATGCATGCTGCACAAATGTCGCGATCCGTGTGTCGGGACGTGCGGCTTTAACGCGGAATGCATTGTTGTTAATCATTTGCCCATGTGTAGTTGCCCAAGAAATATGACCGGTAGCGCATTCGTTTTGTGCACCCCTCTTCAAGGTTTGTATGAGTGGTATGAATTAAGTATGAGAGTTCGCTCGAGTGTGTATTCGTTTCGAGAATATTTCCCGATATAAAAGTGAAATAATTATCTATTATTAAATTAGATACGATCATCGTGGAACAACCGTGCAATCCGTCCCCCTGCGGTCCGAACAGTCACTGTCGCGTGTCAAATGGTCAAGCCATTTGCGCGTGTATCGCCGGATTTAGAGGCGCCCCGCCGTCCTGTAGACCGGAATGCCTCATAAGCGCTGACTGCGCCCGCAATAGAGCCTGCAGCAATCAAAAATGCATTGATCCATGCCTCGGTGCATGTGGATTAACCGCACAATGTACCGTCGTGAATCACAATCCCATATGCAATTGCCCGCCTTTGTACACGGGAGATCCATTCGTTCAATGCATTCGACAACGTAAGAATTTTACGCAACTCGAGATTTATTGTCACATAATTTATGTTGTGTCAAGATAAGTATAACAACTTTAAATATTGCAGCGGAAGAACCACAGCCACCGATAGACCCCTGTCAACCCTCACCTTGCGGCCCGAATGCAATATGTCGAGTCCTCAACGGCGCCCCGTCGTGTTCGTGCTTGCCCCAATTTATCGGCACTCCGCCTAGATGTAGACCGGAGTGTATTAGTAATAGCGAATGCCCTAGTCAACAAGCTTGCATTAATCAAAAGTGCCGCGATCCTTGTCCGGGATCGTGCGGTAGGAATGCTGAATGTAGAACTGTTAGTCACACCCCGATGTGCATTTGCGCCGGTGGCTTTACCGGTGATCCATTTATCCAGTGCAATCCCCGACCGAGTAAGTTTTGAAGAATGTAGTAAATTATCTTAAAAATACGTTACGTGGAGAGAATTTCCTTCTAAAATTTACTCTGAAAATCATTATTAATCGTGGGACAACATAATATTTCGACAAATTTTATTGTGCACAATAAATTTGTTGCAATATATACTAAAAAATATAACTCTGAAAATCACATCAAATTCATCGAAATACTATGTTGTTCTACGATTAACATGATTTTCAGGGTAAATTTTAAAATAAAATTCTCTCCGTGTAATTTTTATCATAAATTTCGTTAAACATGTTTAATAGTTGAGCAATCTACGCCCTCTATTTTAGTTGACATACCGCTTGTTCCACTAAATCCATGTCAGCCGTCGCCATGTGGCGCGAACGCTATGTGCCGTGAAATTTCTGGCTCAGCTTCCTGCACTTGTCTGCCCGATTTCTACGGAAATCCGTATGAGGGTTGTAGACCCGAGTGCGTAATTAACTCCGACTGTACGTCCAATCGAGCTTGCATAAGAAACAAATGTCAGGACCCTTGCCCAGGAACATGCGGTGTCAATGCGATTTGCGAAGTCATCAATCACATACCGGCGTGCAGCTGTCAACCACGATATACCGGAGACCCGTTCAGATATTGCGAATTTATGCAAGAAACTCGTAAGTGGACTCAAGTTTGTCCGTTATTAGTCGTTTAACAGAAACATTATGTCTCACCTTTTGATCGATCTCACACAGCTCCGGTGCCTGTAGGCGACCCTTGCCAGCCATCCCCGTGCGGTCCGAATAGTCGATGCCTCAATGTAAACGGAAAAGCCAGCTGTTCGTGCCTGTCTACCTATCAAGGAATTCCTCCCGACTGCAAACCCGAATGTGTCGTTAGCACAGAATGTCCTATGAATCGCGCGTGTGTCAATCAGAAATGCGTCGATCCATGCCCAGGCGTATGCGGTATCAACGCCAAGTGCGACGCCTTGTCCCACAGTCCATTCTGTAGTTGCGGACCCAGTCAGATTGGAGATCCCTTCGTCAAGTGTTTCGATATGCCCCGTAAGTTCCGAAAGAAATTCATCGCGCAAATATTGTGCAGCTAAGAGTGGCCTGCGTACGGAGATTGTTATGTAATTTTATTCCAGTGATGCCCACACCAACGGTACAAGTAAATCCTTGCGTTCCATCGCCCTGCGGACCTTTTTCCACTTGTCAAGACAGGGGAGGCTATCCGTCTTGCATGTGTATGCCCAATTACATTGGATCGCCACCTTATTGCCGCGCCGAATGTTCAATTAACTCTGATTGCACCAGCAATAAAGCCTGCATCAGAGAAAAATGCAGAGACCCCTGTCCTGGATCCTGTGGTTTTAATGCCTTGTGCACTGTAATCAACCATACCCCGGTTTGCACGTGTCCCGATAGATACACAGGCGATCCTTTCAGCAACTGTTATCAGGCACCCATGCGTAAGAATTTTCGTTATATTATTGCTCACATATATGTTCTTTTTTTTATATAAATCAATAGTATAAAACGATCATCGTTAAATTTATACTTACGTCTTTCGATACAGACATTCCTACAGTAACGTCAGACCCATGTAACCCATCGCCATGCGGGCTTAATGCCGAGTGCCATAACGGAATCTGCAATTGTATACCTGAATATCGTGGTGATCCGTATCGGGAATGTCGGCCGGAGTGCGTGCAGAATTCCGACTGTCCGTTCGATAGAGCTTGCGCAAATAACAAGTGCGTGGATCCCTGCGTCGGAATTTGCGGCCAGAATGCGGAATGCGCGGTCATCAATCACGTGTCCACCTGTAGCTGCATCAAGAATTACGAAGGCGATCCGTTCACCCTTTGTAAACGTGTACAACGTGAGTCTCCCTACCTTTTGCTTTTTTCCCCCCCCCCCCGAGACAGCCCCGCCCTTGAAAGAAACCACTAATTTTATCACCTTACGTCTCGGTAGCACGCGTCAAACCCTGCGAGCCCTCCTCCTGCGGACCCAACAGCGTTTGCCGTGAATTCGGCGAACAAGCCTCCTGTTCTTGCCTACCTGGTTACTTTGGAATCCCGCCAAGCTGCAGACCCGAGTGTCTCGTTAGCACCGATTGCGAGCAGAGCAAGGCTTGCGTGAACATGAGATGTCGCAATCCCTGTGAAAATGCTTGTGGCCAGAACGCGCTATGCGTCGTACGAAATCACAATCCAATTTGCAGGTGCCCTGTTCAGCATTCCGGTGACCCGTTTGTCAATTGTTTCCCCATAAGTAAGTAACCGCCCAGGGTGTCATCGAAAATAATGCAAATATCGAAGAGACATTACATGTAGACTTCTAAAATTTGTCGCCTTGATCCGTGAAAGGGATGAGCGCGTCTTTTGGATGTCTTCTTGACGATTCTTCGATTGCGTTTGCGTTGTTGTGTTTGAGACATTTCTTCCTTAATTTTGAAACGAATAATAAATTTCTTTTTTTCATCGCCAGCAACACCAGCCGTAGAACCCACCAGGGACCCGTGTTACCCCTCACCGTGTGGATTGAACTCGCAGTGCGCGGTATCCGCCGATAATACACCCTCCTGCTCCTGTTTGCCCACCTTTATAGGATCTCCACCCAATTGTAGACCCGAATGCCATGTAAACAGCGAATGTCCCACCAATCGAGCATGCATTAAGCAGAAATGTACCGACCCATGCGTTGGATTGTGCGGATTCAATGCACTGTGCCAAGTCACTTTGCACCAAGCCCGATGCACCTGTCCCGAATCATACACTGGAGACCCATTCACAGTTTGCTCTGAGATAATATGTAAGAAAATCCCTGCTATCTTTACCCGTATCAATTGATCTGACGGATATTACTTGTTCAGTCAGCATTTTGATCACTAAAACTTGATTTCTTAATCTCTAGATCTTGTAAATATCATTATTGTTGTACATAACTGATGTATTTAAAAGAACTGCATGTCAGTTTCTTTGTCACATATTGATCTTGCATCATTTTTAAATATCTACACTCGATCTCATATACCAATATGATACGCAAAATATCTTTTTGAATATATGTATTATACATATATGTATATACATATGAGTTGCACCTTTGCACGTATAAATGACATGTACAATGCATGCAACAGATGCTACAATGTACATTTATTCACTTCTATTCTTATATGCAAATATATTTTTGAAAATGTTAATTTACATTATAATATACACTGCATGCAAGAATTTTAAAACGCAATTATGACTATGGAATTAATTATGTTTTCTATTATTTTAGCGACTCCAACACCGCTGGTACCGTCTAGACCGTGCAGCCCTTCACCATGTGGAATAAACGCGTACTGCCACGAGAGATTCGACACGGCCATTTGCGAATGCGTACCGAACTACAGAGGCAATCCGTATCAAGGCTGTCAACCCGAGTGTCTTGTGAATACTGACTGTCCGAAATCGCAAGCGTGCATAAAGACGAGATGTCAAGATCCTTGCCCTGGTACTTGCGGCGTTGGTGCGATCTGCACTGTATCCAATCACGTCCCCATTTGTTCCTGCCCGTTGCCAACGATCGGAGATGCTTTCACGATCTGCCAAGTCCCTATTGAAGGTAGGGTTTAATTAATCCGTTTCTCTAATTATTATGATTTATTCAGCTATCTCTCTAATTAAATAAAAAATCTCAAACATAAAAGATTAAATAAAGCTGCGTCTTTTAAGGCTTTTTTTTCTTTGTGATAAACGTTACTTATTAATTTCTATTTATTTTTATGTTTAGATACTAAGGAAACGGATCCGTGCTATCCATCACCGTGCGGTCCGAACACCGTCTGCGAGAAAATTGGTAACAAGGCAATTTGCAAATGTTTGCCTGGGCTGCAAGGCGTTCCAACGAGTGTAACTGGTTGTCATCCGGAGTGCGTCCTCAGCTCGGATTGTCCGGGCGACAAAGCTTGCATACAGAGCAAATGCAAAGATCCCTGTTCTCAGAATGTGTGCGGCAGCAAGGCGGTGTGTAAAACAATCAATCACAGCCCACTTTGCAGCTGCCCGTCTCCGTTGATTGGCAATCCCTTCGAGGAATGTTATACAAAGATCGGTAAATATAGAAAAATTGAATTTGGTATAAAATTACATCATATTATTTTCTAATCTTGTTTCCTCGTTATTGTGAAATGCGCTCGTTTCTGTTTTAGAAACCAATCCTTGCAGTCCCTCTCCTTGCAATTACAACGGCGAGTGTAGAGTGAGAAATGGCGTTGCAGTTTGCATTTATCCTGAATGCGTTATCAATACAGACTGTCCGCGTGATAAAGCTTGCTTCTCGCAGAAATGCAGAGATCCCTGCATCGGCGCGTGCGGTATCAATTCTATCTGTCAAACCGTTAATCACAAACCAATTTGTTCCTGCCCTGTTGGATTTACAGGCAATGCGCGAGTGCAGTGCACAATTCCAACCCTTGAAGGTAATATTTATACCTGAAGATTATACTAACGCTAGATTTTTGCAAATAGATTTTTTAAGATTATTATGAATTAAAAAAATAAATCATTAAATTTTTTCAAATATGCGTATACTACGTTATTTTGCAAATACTCGAGCTATATTATGTAATCTAACAAAATATTGTTATTAATATCTAAAAAATTATTCTGTCTAGTAAAGTATTAATATATCGAAAATAATCTTTTTACAAGCTAAATTTTATTAAGAAATATGTTTTTTATCGTGGACGCTATGAAAAAAATTTTAATTTTAAATTTGCAGCAATCCCAGAATGCACACAAAATTCCGAGTGCTCAAACGACAAGACCTGTTTCAATCAAAAGTGCGTTGACCCGTGTATTCTCGATTCTTGTGGCTTTAATAGTCGATGCCATGTGCAAATGCACAGAGCTATATGTGTCTGCAACGATGGCTACACCGGATATCCTCAGCAATATTGCCATCAACGTGCGTTAAACAAATATATTTAACTATTTTTTTCTGTTGTATAACATCAACTTTATTAATATTTTCTTTTTTACAGTTGGTTGCCGTAGCGATAACGAATGCTCATTAATTCAATCTTGTATTAACAACGAGTGTGTTGATACCTGTCTGGTTACACAATGCGGTATTAACGCATTGTGTACCGCTGACGGATATCATAAAACTCGATGTTATTGTCCTGATGGATATACGGGCAATCCTTACGAAATATGCGAAAGGCCTGAGTGCACTAGCGACAACGATTGCGCTCCATCTTTTGCCTGCCGCAACTTGAGATGCGTCAATCCTTGCAACTGTCCACCACCGGCATTGTGCAATGTCGTCAATCACCGAGCAGTATGTAAATGTCCGCCTGGTTACGTGGGTAATCCTTACACCTCGTGTCTCATGGGTAAGAATCCATTTTAATACGAGATTTATAAAGAATTTTGTAAAGTATATTAAAAATATTATACATTAAATTAACAAGTAATATTTATTCTATGAAATGAGAAACACAATCATATAGAGAGCATTATATTGTTAAATTATTGCTAATATAATTGAGAAGATATATTTAACAAGTGATAATTTGGATTAGACTGCTGTAAAAAATTGTTAAAATAATTAATTATTAGATATGATTTATTGGTAATGTTTATATATGTATATATACAATAAATATCTATTGCCATTTCAGATCTATTAGAACCAGAGACCGGATGCCAAGTCGATGCCGATTGTCCTAGTAAACTGGCATGTTTCAGTGGTATTTGTAAAGATCCATGCGCAGAAATGAAACCATGCATCGTTAGTGCCAAATGTAGCGTTGTAGATACCTTACCAATGAGAACAATGATCTGCGAATGTCTGCCAAACTTTGCTGGCGACGCCACCGTTGCTTGCGTGCCAGGTAGACTTCTATCTAAACGCATACATACTTTTTATACATTAATATAAAAAACATATCTAAACATAATAAAATAAATTTATTTTCTCGAAAAGATAATTGAATGTTTCAAATAAAATTGATTCAATTAACTATATGTATTGTATATACATTACGGCAAAAACATTAATTGATAACTGAATTACGAATATTTTATGTATTTGCAGTGGACAAACAAATTGCTGCGATATGCGAGAGTGATTCTCAGTGTACACCGGACATGGCTTGCCTAAATCGTCAGTGCATCAATCCGTGCACCGTTAATCCATGTTCACCAAATGCAGAGTGTCATATAGAAAATCATCGTCGTATATGTCAGTGTCCCCACGGATACGTCGGTGATCCATTCATAAATTGCTACGAAGGTACTGTATGCTTTCTTTTCCATTTCTCAGAGCCGTAAGCGATTATATATGTTTTTTTACAACTCTATCTTTTGCATCCACAGAAAATATAGTTCTTCCGGAATGTAGAACAAACACCGAATGTCCGTCCGACAAAGCGTGCATAAATCAATTGTGCCAAGATCCGTGCTCTAGCAATCGCTGTGGCCTAAACTCAGAATGCATCACAATCAATCATCATCCTTCTTGTCATTGCCAACACGGTTTCGCTGGTGACCCACAAGCTCAATGCTTCAGACGTGAGTTTCTTACAGATTTCTAATTTATAAAAATTATATTTTAATAAAAACATATAAATTTTGAGATAATTAAGATAATTAAGATTTTCTTTGATTTTTTTTAAACATAAGTTTGATGCATCTTAACTCAAAAGATCTGAAACGTGTTGAAGAATAATTTAAAAAGTCCTCATTTTATTTTGAGTACATTGCACTTATTTGTTACACAAAACTGTCTCTTTTTTTCAGCGGAATGTAAGACAGACAACGACTGTCCTTATGATAAGACCTGCCGGAACGACAATTGTGTCACTCCGTGTCTCATCGGTGATGTCGTGTGCGGTCGGGGTGCGGAATGCAGAGCGGTTTCTCACAGAGCCCAATGCATCTGCCCGCAAGGTACTCAAGGCGATCCACGTGTGGCGTGCATTTCCGCGATCTGCCATTACAACGAAGATTGCGCTGATCACGAGGCCTGCGACAGATTGAATAGAGTTTGCAGGCCGGTTTGCGATGACGATGCCTGTGGCGAGGCCGCGATTTGCGTCGCGCGCGAACATCAGCCGAAGTGCACGTGTCCTCCGGGTACTACCGGAAATCCGTATATAACATGCGTTGGTATGTTGATTCTTGAAATGTTATTAATTTCATTTATCATTTTCGAAGAAGAGTTGATTTTAAATTGATCTACTAAAATGGACGATTTCAAGAAGTCCCGTGTGATACATTTATATGATTCGTAGGTGAACCTTCCATTGAGCCGGAATGCATACAGGATAGCGATTGCCCATTGAATCTCGCTTGTATTAACAACAAATGTCAAGACCCGTGCGTGTCTGCTGGTATGTGTACCAGTGAACAGGAGTGCAGAGTCCTGAACACAGAACCGCTTCGTACGATGATCTGCTTGTGTCCACCGAATACAATCACTGATATTAACGGCCAGTGCAAGCAGATTGGTACGTGTCATTTTATAAACTGCATCGGCATATATAATATTTCGTATTATAATTCAATGGTTTTTTTTTAATTGCCTATGGATGCATTGCAGTGTTGGTCGACGTACAATGTCATTTAGATCAAGATTGCGCCAATCACGAGACGTGTCTGGACGGAAAATGCGTAGATGCCTGTTTGACAACTCAGTGCGGTTTTAACGCGCAATGCAAATCCACATCTCACACTGGTATCTGCTTCTGTTCTCAGGACTTTACCGGCAATGCTTATATAGAATGCATAAGAGGTAAATAGAATTTAAATTATAAATTGAAGCGTTTCTCGCAATTATTGTCGTCTTTTATCTCCTAGAACATGTACATGCCATTGATTATATAATTTCGATTGCAGTTCCAGTCGCTCCATTGCCAGGACCTCGACCAGAATGTTATACGAACAGCGAATGTGCGCGCGACAAGCAATGCATAAATTCGCTCTGCGTAAATCCGTGTGTCGCTGGCGATCCTTGCGGCAGGAACTCTTTGTGCCATGTCGACAATCATAATCCGGTCTGCAGGTGCCCGATTGGTTACATCGGCGATCCTACAACCAAGTGCATACCACGTAAGAATCGTTACGAAGAAAGTTTATATTTTGGAGAAATCGTATGTGTGTAACAGTTTTTTTTCTCATATTATGATATTTTCGATCGCAGCGGAGATCACGCCCGAGTGTGTATCGAACAGCGAGTGTGCAGGAAATTATGCGTGCGTCAACAGCGCCTGCATTAATCCCTGCAACTGTGGACCCAACGCCAAGTGCAATGTCGTAAATCATTATCCTTCCTGTGTGTGTCCTCCAGGCTATTCTGGAAATCCTCAGTTAGGATGTTTCAAGCGTAAGTAGAATTTGTTTTATCTTTTTTTTAAATAAGTTTTTAACTTTTTTGTATCGCCGAGGATATCGGCGATTATATCTCATAAATGATCTAGTCGTCCATTTACTATGGCTCTATTTCAGATCACAAGAATCACAAAAATCCCTCAATTTTTACTTGTAATGCGATTTCTGATTGCAATTGTCTATTTCAGTCGATTGCGAATCTGACAGCGAGTGCGACTACGCAGCCACCTGTTACAACGGACAATGCGTGAACCCTTGCATCTTGGACAACAAATGCGCCATCAACGCAGAATGCTACGGCAAGAATCATCGGTCGGCCTGTCGTTGTGGTTCGGGTTACTACGGCAATCCGCAGATTCATTGCGAGAGAGTCGAGTGTAATACCGACCACGATTGCCCCCATAATCTGGCTTGCAACGAGGGCCGCTGCGTAAACCCATGCGCCGAGAATTCACCCTGCGCGCAGAACGCGGTTTGCTACGTCCAGGATCACGTTGCGTCCTGCCGCTGCCCCGAAAACATTCCATTGGGAAATCCATTCTCTTATTGCGAACGACATGCCATAGAAGAGATTGAGGAGCCTGAATGCAGAGTCGACATCGATTGTATAGACAAGTTGGTGTGCATCCGGGAGAAATGCATCGATCCTTGTCCAGTCATCAAGCCGTGTCTGGAAAACGCTCGTTGCGACGTTCTCGACACGGTACCTGTACGGACCATGATTTGCACATGCCCGGAGGGTTGGATCACCGATGTTGATGGTGTTTGCAGGCCAAGTAAGTAAAGCCAAGTATTATTTGAGTCGGTTAATTCAGAAAAGATATAAATGTTTGAAAATAATAATAATAATAATAATAATAATCCATAAATTAAATAAATAATAAAATAATAATCCATAAATTATTTCAATTTTATAGTACAATTGACGGTCATTGGAACGTGTACGACGAACGACGATTGCGGTGACCGCGAGGCGTGCATCAACAGGCAATGTCGCAACCCCTGTAACTGCGGTACCAACGCCGCTTGCTACGTGAAGAATCACAAACCGATTTGCTCGTGCGAGCAGGGCTACCAGGGAAATCCCGAGATTGCCTGTCACTCCGTCGAGTGTCGGCACGACACTCAATGCACGCTCGATAAGACCTGCGAGAATAACAATTGCGTGAACCCGTGCTTGGTCACGGACCCGTGCGGCACCAACGCCGAGTGCTTCCCGAGCAACCACGTGGCAGACTGCCGCTGCCGCAAGGGCTATCATGGCAATCCCTTGGATCGCTGCCGCGTGATCGGCTGCTACAGCAACGGCGACTGTCCGGGCGATCACTCGTGCATCAACATGCAATGCATCGATCCCTGCGTCCATGACAATCCCTGCTCGCCTCGCGCGGAATGCAGGGTTCTGAACCACCTGCCGATATGCCGCTGCCCATCGGGCTTCACCGGAAACCCGTACGTCAACTGCCAACCGGAAGTCAGGCCCGAATGCAGGGAGGACAGTGACTGTCCGGACTCACTCGCCTGTCTGAACAACAAATGCCAGATTCCTTGCCCGATCATACAACCGTGCACCGAGCCGTCTGAGTGTCGGGTATTGCCAACGCATCCGATACGCACCATGGTATGCGTGTGCCCTAGCGGATACGTTAGCAGCGGCAGCGGTACTTGTCGGGCTACTAAACCGATCCTGAAAATCGAGTGCACCAAGGATGACGATTGCCCCTCGGAACGGTCCTGCGTGAACGCGATCTGCAGGGACCCCTGCGCGTGCGGGCCTAACGCGGTTTGCAATGTCATCAATCACAAGCCGATTTGCTCGTGCACGCTGGGATACGACGGAAATCCGGATATTCTTTGTACAAGAGGTAAATTTTCACTTATTGTTAGAGAAAGCCATTAATTTCTCCTTGTTCAAGACATGTTAATAAAACTTGCAAAAGTTTATATAAACATTATGTAATAATGTTGTATTTTTATATTTATAGTTGCAGGATGCAGATCGGACAGCGATTGCAGCGGTTCACACGCGTGTGTCCAGCGCAACTGCGTGCCGGCATGCTCGCCGTTTTTGGCTTCCTGCGGCAAGAACGCCGTATGCCACGGTATTCATCACAAAGCTATCTGCGAGTGTCCACCAGGTTTTGGTGGCAATCCGCGGGTCTCCTGTGTCCTGTTAGGATGCAGAACCAACTCGGATTGCCCTACCAATAAGGCTTGCATCAACAACCGCTGTGAAAATCCCTGTGTACAGAACCCGTGCACCGGCAACATGGATTGCAGCGTTTACAACCACGTTGTGGAATGCGCGTGTCCGCCTGGCTACGTTGGCGACGTTAAATCAGGATGTATTAAGGGTAAAAGATTCATTTTATTTTTACTGAATTTGTTAATGTATAATTGAAATTCTTGATAATTTTCGCTCGTTATAAATACAATAATTAACAAGATTGAACGACCAAAGACGAGCAATATAATTTGTTGTAAAAATTACTTTATTAATTAATTTTCTAGTATAAAACACCACGAAATTTATAATAAAGTAATTTTTACAACCAATTATATTACTCTCGTCTCTGGCCGTTCAATCTTATTAATTATTGAATGTATAATAATATAATTGATTCTTCAATTCTAATTTCTCGCGAATTTCTTTTGCAGTTAAGGAAAAGTGTAAGGCGGACAATGAGTGTCCATCTCAAACCGCGTGCTTCAACGGACAATGCATCAATCCATGCACCAAGATCGCACCGTGCGGTATTAACGCCGAGTGCAAAGTTCTGGACACCAGTCCAATCAGGACCATGATATGCGAATGTCTGCCAGGATACCGTGGAAACGCGATTGTCCGCTGCGATTCAGTTCCAGCGGAAGCGTGCCCGATCGGGAAAGGTCAGATTCGCGATGAATACGGCAACTGCGTCTGCCCACTTGGATTCGGTAAGGACGTGAACGATGTCTGCATACCCTGTCGCAAGCAGTCTAACATGGTGGTAAACGAGGAAGGCTACTGCGTGTGCGACTTAGAAAAGGGCTTCAGCATAGATGAATACGGTCGTTGCGTGTGTCCGACGCGATACGGATACGGAATAGACACCCACGGATATTGTAGACAGCGTAAGTCGACCGTTTAATTTCCTATATCGATCAGGCAACATTTCATTTTCTTTTCATTATCGTCTCGCTAACTCATCATCGCGCTTTAATTGTAGTTGGTATAATCGAGTGCAGACGTAATGACGACTGCGCCGACGACAGATATTGCGATAAAATCACCCATACTTGCCAAGATCCTTGCAAGAAGCAACAGTGTGGCGTGCATGCGCTTTGCAACGCTACCAGACACCAAGCTGTCTGCATCTGCGTCAATGGCTACATGGGCAATCCATACACCCAATGCTGTACGTTGAAAATTTACAAAAATAAGCGCGTCTTGATAATTAACAAACATTTTTAAAATTTGGTATAAGCTTTCGTATACAACACATATCGTTTTTTTTTTTTTTTTAACAAGAACTGCATCCTTTAACAATGACAAGCTAATTAGTATCGGGTTTGAAAAATTCTTTTAATGCATATCTTTTCCATTTTTTTAGACGACAGAAAGGATGGCCGAACAGATTTCCCCAGGCCAGAAATGGATGTGAGCTGCTTGTCGGATGGAGTACAGGTCGTAATACATCTGCAAGATCAAGACTTCGACGGGGTCTTGTACGTTAAAGGACGCAGCAAAGACGAACAATGCAGACGAGTTGTATCGATACCGGCCGAAACTGATCATAAAACTGAAACGTTCAAAGTAGCATTTGGCAATTGCGGGCTTATACATGTGAATGTTAGTTGAATGGCATTGTATTGTAATTGTATCAACGGTTGTTGCGTGAAAAGATATTTACGTTTTCTTGATTCATCTTTCAGGGACAAGCTAGCTTTGTGCTCGTTATACAGAAACATCCGAAATTGATGACTTACAAGGCACAGGCTTATCATATTAAATGTATCTACCAGACTGGAGAACAGAACGTTACCCTCGGTTTTAACGTCTCCATGTTGACGACTGCTGGAACAATCGCTAATACCGGACCACCTCCTATATGCGTAATGAAAATAGTTGCACAGAATGGAAATGAAATTAACTCGGCCGAAATCGGAGATAATTTAATGCTGCAAGTGGAAGTTCAACCTTCAAGTAAGTATTACACTGAATTTTATTTTTTAACAATTCTATTCTTGCTGTAAGATATGAGAATAAATAATAAATAATATATTGCAGCTATTTATGGCGGATTCGCGCGAAATTGCGTCGCTAAAACTATGGAAGATAATTTGGAGAATGAGTACATCGTAACGGACGAGAATGGCTGCGCGACAGATCCCACAATATTTGGAGAATGGGAGCAAAATCCCGACACTCAATCTTTAATGGCTAGTTTTAACGCATTCAAGTTCCCCAGCAGCGACAATATAAGATTCCAGTGCAATATACGCGTGTGCTTCGGACGCTGTCAACCTGTGAGTACTTGGAACTTGAAAATCACTTCACATGTTTCAGAGCTGAAGTGCCAACTCCGACAATAAAAATATATTTCCTCTGTCAACAGGTGAACTGTCGCGGTTATAACGCCTTCGGCCGTCGCCGCAGAGACGTTGATTCCGAGATTAATGACACATCTCTAAGTGTATCCGACGGATTTGAAGGTCAACTTCGTGAAGAGATAACCATTCAGTCGAACTTAATATTCACTCTGGAAAGGAGAGAGGAGAGGTACACAGCAGATCCAGCTGAAGGTAAAGCATAACACGTTTAAAAAAAAAGTAATAATTCTCATGAGTTTTGACGTAAAGGAAATAATGAATTTTACGATTCCTTTCAGCTCCTTCAGCACAAAGAGTGGAAGATATCTGTGTTTCTATGGTCGGCTTTATCATAGCGTTAATAATTACGGCGCTTTTGGCACTGGTTGCCGTAGCTATTGCTGTGTCATGCTGGCTTATGGCGTATCGACGTCAGCCAAAGACTGCTGGACCACTGCCACACCCACCAGAGTTCCCAAACCCCTTGTTCACTACTGAATCCGTAGCTGAACCTTCTCCTGACTATCACCTATCATAAGTCCCTTAGAATAATATTTTATAAATAACATAAATTTTTATAATTCTCGTGGAATGCATCTCAGACCATTCGTCCTATTGGTCGGTTTTGTATTTCTGTATACAACTCCTCCAGTGACTATCACTTCGTCTTTTTGTACTCTCTTTCCAAGGGTTCAAACATTAAGTCACTGTTATACATATTACGCGAGTCATGATATACATATACATACTATTTATGGTGAAGGTTTGCTTCCATTATCTACTTGCGAGCAAAAACACGGGACTATCTTTCCTTCGTGTATCTTTCCTGTATTATTTTCTCTAGTCAGTGGAGGATTTGTTAAATGTAATGCTGCGAATTTAATTCCTGTGTAAAGTCAACGAATTAGTCTAATATAGCTTTCTTATTACGAAAATAGGTAATTGTACATTTTATCTAATAAAACGCTAACGAAATATTTTTAAAAATTTTTGTTATTCTTTATTCTTTCTTCCCTCTTATCTCGTTATGTGTAGTGTGATGTATAACATGTAACTATAAACATAATATAATTATGATTTATTTTAGTAATTGCGTTTATAACACATATGCATAAGATATTTCTTAATAATATTATTAGATGTATATTTTACAACAAATTTACGTTAAGCATTATTTTATTATTAAATGAAAAAACTAATGTCAACTAATATCAATTTATATAATTTTCGTATCACAAAGCATTTTTATACAATTTATTAAAAAATGCTATGTTATATAAATAATTTTACACACGATTTGAGCTTTATTGGCCGCTAATTAACTTTGATATTAATTTTAATATTATTTATATGGCGTATAGCAAATATATTTGCTATACGCTATCATAAACAGTCAAAATATTTTCTTGTAAAGATTATCCTTTAATAACTGCAATTGGCCGTAGTTTAATGCATTTCTTAGAAATTCCAGCTTCGTGACAAGTATTAACAACATCCGTTACATTTTTATAGGATTCCGGTGCTTCCTCCATGACCAATTTTGGTGAAGCAACCCGAATAGAAATACCTAATTGTTCTAATTTTTCCAGAACTTGCGTATAATCCAAGTTTCTACGTGACTTCGCTCTTGAGAGAGCACGGCCCTATACATACATACATATATTTTTTGTATATAAAAACGTATTTTTCATACCATTATTTTATATGATATAAACATATTATTTGTATAAAGTTATTTGTAAAATTAAAGATAGATTGATATAAATGACATATAAAACTGATACAATTCCTATACTTACAGCACCATGACATGTTGATCCAAATGTTTCTTTCATACCCTGTTCTGTCCCAGTTAAAACGTAACTGCATGTACCCATTGTACCACCGATTAAAACTGGTTGGCCTGTTAATTGGTAATCTACAGGAATCAAAGGATGATGCGGTGGAAAGGCTCTTGTTGATCCCTTCAAGTAAAATACATTTTCATTACATATAAATATGATAAGAATTATTATATTTACGTCAGTATCGTAATTAAACTATTACTCAGTCGTGCTATACACGTTATGTATATCTCATATAAATACTTACTTTTCTATGAACTAAAAGTGTCTTCTGTTTTCCTTCAACTATATGTTCTTCTATTTTGGCAATATTATGGGACACATCATAAATAACATGCATATCTAAGTCGTCAGGAGATGAGTTGAATTGTTTTGCAAATGCCTGTTAAAAAACATATTGTGTATTATTTTGTATTTCTATTAATTATACGTTTTCTATTAACAAGCGTTTATACAGATTTCTTCAAGATACCTGTCGGCTAAGGAATGTCATAGAACTCCTGTTAACCCATGCAAAATTGGCAGCAGCTGACATCGCTTTTAAATAATCTTGGCCTTCTTGAGATTTAATATGAGCGCATGCAAGCTGCCTATCATTGGTCTCAATATTGTCACGCTTCATAGCTTTCTCCATTTGTACAAGTGCATCTAAAATGTTTTTTCGTACAAAATAAGATGTAATTTTCACAATAATTTCTAAGTATCAAGGCAAGAGAGAGAGAGAGAGAGACAGAAAGAGAAAAAAACATGTATAATTTATAACCTGTAGCAACTTGATGACCAAATCCTCTGCTCCCCGAATGGATCATAACGCAAATTTGTCCTTTTTCTTCAATACCCATTTTACATGCAGCCCACTTATCGTATATTTCATCTACTACTTGAATCTCTGCATAATGGTTACCAGCTCCTAATGTACCTAACTAATATAAAACATATTTGTAATAAATATATCAAGTTTTATATATATATATAATTATTATGTTTAAACACATATGTACATATGTAAATAATACGATTTTCTAGATATCTATTATGTCATACTTGAGGAAGTCCGCGTTTCTTAGCTCTCATTGACACTTTCGATGGATCGGCATTAAGCATTCTTCCATATTCCTCACAGTGTTCTTTGTCTTCAGCCCAAATGTAACCTAAGTGTATTTTGTATAAGTATTTTTGCTTCATCAGTACTTTTATTTCGTCATAATATTTTTTCCCTCACCTTCCCTCAAAGACCAATCCATTCCCATTTCTAACGCTTCCTCTAAATCTCGTGCGTTCATTGGTATAATCCCTTTAGATCCAACGCCGACTGGGATGTGATCAAACATACTTTGTGCAAGTTGCTCCTAGAAAAAAATTTTTTTTTTTATTATTATACGTGTGACAGATGTATACATTACTATTTTACATTGCACAAAATTATAAAAATAATGATTGAAAAGAGAGTAATATTACTTTTACTGGTAAGACGTCCTTCTCGAATAAATTTGTTCGTAGTAGACGAACACCACAATTAATGTCAAAGCCAACGCCACCAGGTGATACAATTGACTTTGGATCATCCATATCGAATGCTGCCATGTTACCTGAATAATCAATATTCATTTACTGTTTTGTTATTTCATTCATTTAATACAGTTAATTATTATAAATTATTTTTGATTCTACATGTTTGGAAAAAATGCACGAAAATGGACGATATATTTTACCAATAGCAAAGCCATATCCAGAGTGTATATCTGGCAATCCAACAGATCTCCATACAATACCAGGCAAAGCCGCAACATTAGCAATCTGTTTCACTCCAGGAAGGAAACCTCCAACTGCGCCTGGCCGACATGCATTGCGCAGCTCATCAAACATCAACCGTTCCAATGTATTATTCACATAAAATACTCCTTCCACCTTTAATCATAATTTATAGAATAAGGTAAACATGTAACTGTATGTAAAATATAAATAATTGTAATTTTCATGAAATTGCTTACATCTATACACATAAGTACTTTTTAATATGTATTTTGCTTTTATATCTTACAGTAGAAAAAAGAGAAATTACCTTCATGTTAGGTTGAAAGCCTTTCTTGATTTTCCAACAATATTCATTTATCTTCTCCAAATATTTAATCTCCTCTTGATATTGTCTCACAACCATTTTTCTGAAAAGAGAATAAGATCGCATATAATGTAAAAAAGGGTGTAGCAATAAATTTAAAACAAAGAATTACGCAATTACAATCCTGATATAAAATACAGTTGCATAAATTAAAAATAAAAAACATATTGAAATATATGTAATATATAATATATTTATATATAATAGAAAAACATTATTTTTCTACATGCAAGGTTATACTGATTGTGCTTAAAAGAAACGAAGAATATTTCACAGAATAAGACCAAGTAAGTATTTCGACAATATTGATATCACTCTCTGTGTGCACGTGGTGCAATACTTACAATTGTAAACAATTCTTTTCTGAGATATGCGATACAATACTTCTACGCCGGTCTCCTAACCTAACAGATTTTATTCTTTCTTATTATAGCCTCCGATTCCCAACACCGGTTAATTATGGCCAGTGAAATCAACGAGAAAAATATTACAAGTAATCACAAAAGTCGATTAATCTTGTCAGAAAATTTTTACAAAATTTTTTTTCCGCATGCAACTCTTGCGATGCAACTTTTCTGACAGATCGAACTGCGCTCCGTATTTCTCTAATAATAAGCAATAATACGCAACAATTTGCGTATTATTCCATCTAGCGATCGCTGGCTGCAAACGCAACGTAATAAATACGCGGATAAAACAGTTTGAACACTTGCAAAAATTATTTTGAAAAAAATTGATGTTTTCAAAGGAACATAAAATCAGTGGCGCTTTATTGTAACAATAAAGCTTTATTTATTTCTTGAATTCGATGTAGAAGATATATCTTGTAATAGTTGTAATTGCCGAGTCGACACTCGACACACGCGAGAACGGAATGTGTTGGTGGTAGACGGTAGTAGATCAAATCGTCAAAATGGCCAGCCGAGCCTCGACCGTCGTTCGCCAAGTGAAACCAATTCTGTCTGTTAATCGAGAAGATGCACGCCGAAGAGTGCTCACGTTGTATAAAGCGTGGATCCGTCAAGTACCAATCTCGTGTACGCAACTCTCATTGTCGTATGTCACAATTTGCAGGGCTTTGCGCCTCCTAACCTATAACCTCTAACGTATAAGCATTAATTTAACCCTTTAATTATACAAATGTTATGCGCGAATAAATTTGTTTTACTTACACTACAATGTTACCACCACGATACATTAAATCTTGTGATAAAACTCGTCACTTTCTTGAATATGAATCATTTTTGAGCTGTTACATAAAGCTACTGTGTGATCTTGTTATTTTATATCCTCAAACACATAATGATTATTTTCCTTTTCTAGTGTTGTCTTATGATATTCCCAAAAATGAAGCAGACTGTAAACAAAAGATACGTGAGGAATTCAAGCGCAATGCTCATGTGTCTGATATAAGGATTATAGACAAGCTTATTATAAGGGTAAGGAATAAAAATTTTTCGAGTATACAAACTGAATTTTATATCAAATGCCGGCGACTAATGTAACTTCAGTTTATCTATATATCATGATATACATACTGTGTTGAATTATATAATATATTTAAAATAAAGATTGCATGTATATAATTTATCACATGATATATGTCAAATTGATAACATCCATACAGATTTAATAAATTTTACTTACATTACAACGTATAAAATTATATGATTTAACAGGGTCAAATGGAGTTGCAAGAGGTGGCTAACGTGTGGAAAACTAAAGGAGGACTTATGCATTATTGGAAAGAATCGTGGGAAAAAAAGCCAACCGATTTCATGTCAAAATTTCTCAGTGGCCAGGATTAATTTACTCTGTCATTAGTTCGCAAGATGCATGATAGAGACATGTGATTGTAATAATTTATGTATATATAATTGTGTAAATACACAGGTTTCAGTTACTGTAGTCAGATGGATATTCTCTGTGTTGTGAATATACCTGCGAAATAAAAGTGAGAGTTAAGCAATATTAATAAAGATAGCCAATATTTCGAGAAGACTCTTTAATTATCTCTTAAAGAAGGTAATAATTCTTTTAATTTACATTTTATCTTTTTACATTGATATATTATTTAGTTATATACATTTGACAACATGATATATTACTAAGCACCTTAAGTGTAATCTAGTTTACTTCTCACAGCCATACGGACAATTTACTTCCTTCAATGAACAAAAGTAATAGACACTATAGATATACATGTGTGCTAATGTATATATTATATACACACATCTTATACATGCTTCATATTTGATTTTGATTGCGCACGTGTATGTATAATCGATATTGGAATGCTAGAGGAAGTTTTCGTTTATTAGGTAAAACCCTTACAGATTTATTATTACATAAATTTTGATATAATTAAAATTTTAATATTTTTCGATTTATGTAGAAATAAAACTATAAAAGTTATCCAGAAAATAAAGTGTCTTAATCATTCTGACATCGACTATACGCGACACCGTCCTAATTCCTTTCTCACACTATTAAACAAAATGAATTGTCGAATAAACTAAGTGTCCGTGGTGTACTTTGGTCATGATTTTTATAAAATATAATTTGCTTGTTTCCATAACACGTTCCAATTAAAAAAAATCGTAACAAAGAGAAGAAAACAGGAGAGCAGTCCTGCATGTAAAAGTTGTTTTTACATCGCCTTGATGCACACGTTTTAGTACAAGAGTTATAAAATATATCTAAATATTAAAAATATATATACATTATAGTCGGTAACTTTCATATACATATAAATTGCACGTATCTAAGCTAGAAAAAAGATGGCAACAATAAATCATGCTTATGATTCGTAAACGTAATGTCCCACATAATTTATGTTTTAGCACATAGTTTTTACACGTGATTCTATTTCTTGCTACTTAGTCGCGTTAAAAAAAAAAGAGAAAAAAAATTTCTCGAATGCGTACTAGACCACACTCTCGCGTTCATTTTGCTTATCGTACCCTGCTAATATTCCTCTTCTTAAAGAGACGTTGCTGTTGCGCAATCCATTACCGTTGAACATCTGTATAATAGTCGAAACAGGCGGAATTTCTAACAACTTTCGCGCGGAAGACTTTTTATCAGGTACACTGTCCATGCTAGATGCAGATACCACTTGATCTAGCGAGCGCGAACGCTTCTCCCGTATTTCTCTCTTGTCCGTACTGTCGTCACCCAACAGCGGGTCTGCTTCATTCGGGGGACTATCAATGTGAGACATCATTATCACATTACCATTAGGATAATTGTTATTCAGCATTTTTTCAGAAATGTCCGCTTTTGAATTGATCTGCGTGCACTCGTTCTCCTTCCAGAAGTTTGGCGACTCGAACCGTTTGTTATACATATCAGTGGGAAGCGGGTCGAGCGAACGAGATCCGCGTATGACAGTCTGAGATGGATAGTCGCTTGACGACGAGGATGCGATGGTAGATAATGCACGCGCGTTTTTTCTAAGTTTTGGTCCTGTGCTTATGAACAGATCGTCGACCGATTTGATGTTTAAGCGTCTATGTGCTTCCTCTTCCTGAACTGAAACATTATCTAGCGTGGTCTTCGACACGCTCTCAGTCAGAGACAGGGGAGATCTCTCGAGCTTGCGAAAGTGCAACGTTCGCGAAAGTGGACTAGATCCACCACACTGTGAGGAAGAGTCATCGGCCATTGGATATGGTACATTTGATTGTCTGCGACTACCTGCCCCTAATCCTTCTAATAGCGATGCGTATCGTGAATCTGGATTTAGCTTCGGGCTTTTTCGCGGTCTGCAGAACAACGGTGGAAGATTTTCATCCCCGTTAGAGTTCTGTAGAGACAAGGAAATTCAGTCCGTTAGAGAATAAGTCATATTATTTTCTTAGCGATAGTGTAGAATCAAAATTTGATTAGCTTATTAATCATTAATTAATTTCTAAGAGAACATTAAAATAAATATTAAAATAAATAATAACGATATATAATATTATTTAATTTAAAATAAATTTAATAGAAATTTGTTAATATTTATTCTTGATGCTAATTTACTACTATTTAACATAATGAAGCAATTTGAGTCATTTTGAGATTAATAAAAGATCTTTAAATTATGAAGAATATATTCTTTTTAAACGATTATTTTATACACAATCTCATATAAACATTCTAAATTTTTATTCACAAACCTCTGTATTCTTTCTGTGCGTCACAGTAGCTCCAGTGAGCCAGTAAGTCTTCACTGTTCCTTTTCCTTTCATTTCAATGAAACCACGCTCTTCAATCTTATAACCTCCGATCTTATCTAGCGCTTCTTTGCATTGCTTACTGATGTGTATTCGTAATGGTTCTCCAGTAGATTCCATACGCGACGCGGTATTGACGGTGTCTCCGAATAAACAATATCTAGGCATTGTCAAACCGACAACACCCGCTACTACAGGACCTGTAATTTTATATTCATGTTACCACTGGACAATATATGCGAGATATGTATATGCATATGCACGTATATTCGCATATATATTGTATATGTATACATATATTGTATGTTTTTAAAAGCATCTTCTCTTACCAGTATGAATGCCGATACGTAACTTGAGAGTTTCTTGAGGCCGATGAGGTATCGTATGATGCTTAACGACATTAAGTAATTCCAGCGACATTGATGCTATCTGTCCAGCATGTTGATCTCCGTTTCTTATTGGAAGGCCGGAAACCTGAACAGAGGATTGAATATTAAGAATTTTTTTTTTTTCGTAACTAATCGCTTATATAAAAATGCTACTTACGACCATATAGGCATCTCCGATCGTTTCTACTTTGTACACTTCGTATCCTCTGATTATACGGTCAAACAACGTATACAGATCATTTAAGAAATTTACAACCTGTCATCATAATTATTAATTACATAAATAACATTTTCATTTTACTAATTTAATTATAAGACAATATACGAAAATATATACCTGAAATGGCGTGCTTTCTGCTGACATTGCAGTAAAACCTACGATATCGCTAAAATATATAGTAACCAAATCAAAAGCTTCCGGCTCTACGCCAATACCGTTTGTTAAACAATTTGCGACAGGTCTAAAAGCAAACAAAATAATATTTTGTAAATATATGTTTATATATATCATCCGAAATTTTATGATCACGCTTATTTCTTACTTGACGAGCGTATCACGAAAACTTACTTAGGTAACATTCTGTGAAGCAGATCTTCAGTTTTCTTTTTTTCATCCAAGAGAAGTCCCGTACGCTCGGTGACTAGATCCTCGAGATTACTCGCATATTTCTCCATCATATTCATCATTTGGTCCATTATGTTTCGATGCCACCCAGCTTTCATTTTCTTCAATCTCGTCCTTATCATTTTGAAGTCTGGCCTTAATTCTGGACTTTCCGCCCAACAGTCCATAATAGTGCTAACGACATAATCGGCACAATTTGCTTTCGATTCGGAGAGTATGTTTAAGTTAGGCCTAAACGGTGGTTCACCATCTTCCGGAAATCTTTTCACTCGGTCTATGATTTCTGTAATAAGTTATTTAATAATCACATTTATTTTGTCGTCATCGATCTTTGAATCAAATATTGATCAACGAATAATAATCATTGTATTTACAATATCTCTCCTCATTACACATTATCCTTTATAATTACCTTTGGGTTCCAGATTAATATTTCCGTACGGTCCCTTACGTCCAAGAATTTCATATAGAATAATGGCGAAAGAATAAATATCTCCTGCCTGAGTGCCTTTAATTGGAGCATGTGAGTTTCTTAATAGCTCGGGGGCTTTCCAAAATAAGCCTACAACAAGATAATTTGATCAAAATAATAATTTGATTAAAATAACGCGAATATATATAACTTAAATATATAATAGAAATATAGAATAATAAATGGAAATAGCCGCATACTTCGATAATACTGATGTTCACCGATGCTGTCAGATTCGGCGCAATGGCGCATATCATGAAGCCCGAAATCCGAGACTTGGAGTACCCAACGTGAAGTCACGACACAATTGGAAGACTTTAGATTACCATGACAGACTAGTAGAGATGACTCGTGAATATACAGCATACCCTGTTCAATAAAATTGTACATAAATTGTACATTAAAGATTCTCTTATAATATAGTTTAATTAAAAAAAAACACTTACCTTAATGAGATCGTGAATTAACGATGCAATGAACATATCATCTAATTTTATATCTTCGTTTTCAATAATGTCCTGCAAAACGATATATATTTACATAAGTATATTCGATTATATTTCTTCCTCTTTCTTATTAGCTCTCTTTCTTATTATTCTGTTATCTGAACTTTCAAAGATGAATACATTACGCTATGTATACAACTTTTATTTATGTGCGTGACAATATATTGTTCTTGTACATAATATACTATACTATGACTAATAGCAGGATGTCACCGTGATTACGCTATGACGTACATAAAGACTTCCTTTGGTACAATAGTCGGTAATTAACAATATCCTCATCGGCTCCACGCACGCTCCGATGAAAGAGTTGAGATTACCATGCCTAATTTCACGGAGAATGCGCATCTCCTTCATAACGTCCCGTGAAATGTCTTTTTTCTTTGAGAATTTCAGCTCCTTTATCCGTACCATTACACCATGGTAATGTCCAGTTTGCGCGAACACTTGGCCGCCGCATCTCGACTCGTAGGACATTGCACTAACTAAACTTAACTGTAATCGAAAGATGTTTTTATTTCTTACATCACGCATCAAGAGATTGGCACACGAGGTGCTTTGCATCTATCTCAATTACGATAATACACGCGCTATTTACCTTACTAGGGGAGGACATCATATTATCAAGATGGGGATAACCGTGTATCTCATTCGGATCAATCTTCCAAAGTAATCCTTCTATTTCCTGTTCTATCTTCCATCTTCGATATATGCTCATAGTGATTACTGTGGCGCAAAACAGCAAAATAGCCAATGCTGCGGCAACAATAATGCTGCGGAGATGCGTGTCGTCTTTCGGACAATGTTCATTGAGAAAACCGCAACCAGGTTCTGCCTCGGGTTTATTTTTACCGGGCCAATCCATAGCGCCTGGCCAAGATTTGTATACCTGTTTCATGCAAATACGTTGTATTTATTCAACCTAATAGCGCATTCACTTTTTATAATCCAATGATTTAAATATGAAACGACCGATTTCTTCTATTTTCGATCTGCCGTAAAAATTTCTCGAACGCTACAAATAACTCACTCACTAGAGTTTCACCCTGCTGAAGGAATTGGCCCACAGGCAACATCTGATAGTCGCAAGAGAAGTTTTGATCACGGAACGGTTCTTTTTTTAGAGCAAGCACTGAAAAGTTTCCCTCAGAATCTCCAAATTTATCCAATTTAATCGTTGCTCCGCTCACACCTAGCAAAGAGAAAATAAAGATAAATTTTTACAAAGATATATTTAGACAATCTTGAATGTTTATTAAAAGAAAGAGAGCCATTTAGGAATTATATCAATTCATCTTTAATTTAATTACTCTCTTTTTGTATGTCGAGTATTAGATCGTGCGAGCCACTTGAGATTAATCCTATCAGTACATACATACATATATATATATATATAT